AGTGCAACAGTAATACTGATAAAATTACGAAGTCAGCGCAGGCGTGTACGCGTGTGTGCGAACGTGCGACAGAAATGTCATTCATTATGACACTCAGGCGTTGAAGTTGTCATCGTCGTCAGTCGACGATAGAGTTAATCGAAGTCGCGCGTGAAGAAGAAGAAGATGAGTGACAGGATCGGTCAAGGGTCAAGCGATCCTCGTGTGCTCTCGGCTTCGATGGCGGTCGTGCGCGTCCAGTCAGATGTGATACACAACTAAACAAGAGAAAGAGAGAGAGAGAGAAAAAAAAAAGACGTCGTCGTTACTCGAGCCTTCTTGGAAGCGATGACGCACGACGCGCAACGGCGAGAAAAAGAATGTCTCGAACGAAAATTCATGCTCTCGCGCGCTTTTTGATTGAAACAATGTTTTCGCAGGCCTCGGGCGTGAAAAAAACATCGGGTCACTCGTGAAAGCTAACACATCCGAGTCGATTGCCTACATATGAGCATCCGATTGCAATTAAATCGCAACTAGCTGCAATCGGCGATCGTACATTACAAACGGTATGTACACTCGAGCGCTGCAGCTCGCTTTGGAATAGAGCGCGCAATATGCGCACATAATTGCAGAGCAATAATTCAAGCATTTATCGTGCATCCCTTAATTGATTTTTCCTCGAATTTCTCTCTTCGCGGCGATCCGTTTTTCTCCGCGGCTCGAGCGATAGCATCTCGCGCGAGCGCACCAGGCGAAATCGCATGTATAAAAACGTATTGCGCACAAGATCGAGTCGGTGGAAAATTTTGCTCGTGGAAAAAGTTGACTTTTACGCACAATGGCTCATTAAAATTATCAGAGGGCAATTAATATTATGTGTGTTTCTGTGAAATCGCAATCAGTGCAACAATGAAACTACTGCACGCTGTACATACGTATGTGTCTAATCGATGTAATGAAGCGAATCGAGGATCACATATCGATGCATGTACAATGTGCGGAAGTCACGTTATAAAGACAGCGGCAGCGGCGTACGATATCGTGCGCTTATACAACAACCGGGAGGCTAATTTCTCGTAAAAATCAAGCGAACCTCGTGTGTGTTTAGTCGGGAGAGCGAGGCGAATCGGCAAAACACAACAATCGGATTAGCATGACGTATAACAAATGGTTAATATTCATAAGATTGACACTACTGTGCAGATACGAGCAGCGGAGAGAGAGAGAGAAACGCACCAACTTATTATCGGCTGTTCGAGTCGAATACATCGCGCTATTCGAGCTGTCCGTCAATGTGACAGCCGCACAAATTTATTATCCATTAACACGCTGCTTACATGTCTCTGAAACGCTGCGCTAATACACATATACAGCACGTACTTTGCGATCTGCGAGCCAATAATCAATCTGAATTACAAATCTCAAAAAAGCTTAAAAATCCACGAGGAACATTTGTTATGGAAGCCGCGAGAAATTACGAAAAGTATCGCATAATAATACAGCTAATCGCCCGTCTAATTGGACAGCGCCGATAAACTTGGTCATAATAGACGTTGTTCCATCGATCTTTCGTGCTTAGGCGATCCATCCGTAGTATACGTGCGAGCGAGCGAAATTCTCGGTAAAAATTTATAACGTGCATATGCTGCTATGCGCCGATCGCTACGTACGAACGCGCCAAGATCGATGATAAACGCATCGAGCGAGAGAGAGAAAAAAAATGTTTCAAAGCCCAGACGCGATATAGGGAATCGACGTAAACTTACATTATCAATGCTACGCGTTCGCTGTCAATTACGCAGCTTGGGAGCAATAGCACCCGCACAAACGTGTAAGATACATGAAAGAAAGAAAAAATATCTACGCTGCAATTGCGCAAATCCAGTCTCGAGTTCGTTCGCTTATACTCGCTCTCTTCGTCACAGATTTCATCGAACTTAATTCCAGCGAGATAGCTGCCACCGATGCATGTGTATAAGTTAATAATAGCGAACGTCATCGAGTGCGCTCGGGTCTTTTTCCTCGGGTAAAAAAGACAAACGCGACGAATAAGAATCAAGGAAAAGAGAATCGCCTGCCTTAGCCGAGAATACGTGTGTGTGTGTGTGTGTGTGTGCGCGCGCGTATAAGCACGTCTACGTATGCTGTACGTGTATACGGTGCATCGAACTAAAGATAAGGTATCCGATAAGACAAGTCGCCGCGCCCTGCAAATTGGCAATAAAGGGACCGAAAACGAAAAGATGAGCGAAAAATAAAAAGAAATTCGATACCTACACACAGAAGGTGCCGTTTGAAGGTCTCATTATGCTGCAGTGGCGACGACGACGACGAAGCGTTGAGGTTTTCGATAACCGAGCGATAGCAAAAAGTTTATACAAAGTGTGCTTGTGTATAAGAGGAGACGGAGAGAGAGAGAGAGTAAGAGACAGAAAGAGACGACTCCAAAAAGCGAAGGTAAGAAACTGCTCATTACTTATGTGCTACTATCTAAAGCATCCTTTTCTCTTATAAAGCGGCCCATTATACGTATACAGAAACGAGCGACGCGCGATATTTACTTTTAACAATAATATAAGTGCTGCCGAACAATAAAAGCCTACGTGGCGGCTGCTGGGATAAAAATTAAGCCGCGCGATCAAGTGCAACACACTTGCCGCGACGCTATGCGCGAGTAATCGCCTGCGTTGCCACATAAGAGGCTCTTTAAGCGCTAAAGGCGGCAATTTTACAATTTTACAATATTTCATTACGAGCAGATCGATACAGCGAAAAGACACGCATGAAAGTTTTACAAGAGGCAACAGCAGTCGACACGCGCTAGGCAGTACCAACTACAAGATCGGCACGAAGAAAATAGCTTTTTTATTCATCGTAGACTAGCACTTACTTCGGGAAAGGCCGAATGGAGTTTTATCTCTTTTTTTTACTCTCCAGATAGAGGAGTGGGCTAATGTATTAACGATTGCTTCATACGAGTTATTATTTTGCCTCGCAACGTACCTTTTTTACTTTAAAAATTTTTTCTTTTTGAAAATTTGTTTAAACAAAAACTAACTGAATTTTATTTGAAATATTTCAATTTTTATAAAACTCTGAAAGCACGTTGGTGTGTTCACATGGGTGAGTATAAACCGACGAAAGATTGCTTTATCTCGTGATCGAGGATATATCGACAGGCGACACGCAAACCGGTATTTTGAGCGCGCGGTGCAAATAGTGCAGCTGGAGACATTTTCGCGAACTGGCGGCGATGCGAGCTTCGATCACGGTGCAATCGCAGTAGGTACGCAAGGCAAATCGAAAAACAAAGAAATTAATTGTTGGAGCGAAAAGTCGAAAGAAGCCGGTATATAGACGGCTCGCAAAAGAGCTGCGTGAGCTCATGTATGTGTATGTGTGTGTGGGCAACGTGCGAGTCGAGTGCAAAAGGCGCGAGCGTAATGAAACGAGCAGCAAATGGGTCGTGTTGGACGCGAGTGACAAGCAGCTACACCACCACCACGTGTGCTTGTGTGTACCTACGTGCACGAGTGCAGAAAAAAAGGAACCCGAGAGTATAGCGAGAGAAAGATAAGCATCGCCTGTGGCACAGCGCGACATTACAGGGTTAAAGTATAACACACGTACACACGTACACGAGCGAAGCCCGTAAATGTTGACGATGACGCGTTGACGCACGGCACACGAGCCACGTCCGCAGGTGCGCATACACACACTGCACCGGCCGAGGCTCGACTCAGGCTCGCGAATTTCGAAAAATATACATCTAAACGACGCACTGCACACAGCTCGAGCTGGACGACCAGCGACGAGCAATACCTCATGCCGCTACCGCCATGGCCCGTTTAAATTATACCGACGCGGTAACAACTTCGTGGTGTAGAGTACACGTGTGTGTGTCCAGTCCCTGTTGTGTTGGTAAATGCGCCTCTGTGTGTACACGTAATTGAGAATTGACGAGAGAATAGCATGTTCTATCGTTTCAATGACCCGCACGCGTTGTTATTAAATTCTCTCTCTCTGTGACTCGCTCCGAGTTTTGCGCCAATCTATGCTCTGCGTCGCGCAACACACACACATACACACAGCAGTGCGATCTGATTGAACTCTGCTGCCCCCGCACAATCACGATCGTAAACGAATCGAATGAGATGTCGAACGAGACCCTACAATAATGACGCTCGTATAAATCAATTATCAGTTATTTGTTACGCGTTAAAATCTGTTTCCCGTTTCTATACAGCATATATAATGTATAAGCGAGTAAAAAATTATTATTATTGACTTTTTGCCTCAGCTTTTACGCGATGCATCGCTGCTGCTGCATCATACACTGGTCCGCATGTATGTGTGAGTATAAAAAAAGGAGAAAAGGCAGCGCAATGTCCCGCTATGTCTAAAAGAAAAGAAAAAACATTTTGTAATGTTTTCGCGATATCCTTTCGCGCGTACGTGTGCTTACATGTGTGTGTCTGCAGCAGACAACGACGACTCGACGTCGACGACGTCAGGGAGTGAGCGAGAGAGTGAGAGAGACCTTAATGAGTCTTTATGGTATGGTGTAGCGAAGTTGTATTCCCTCAGCGCTTTGACCAGATACTGCTATGTCCCGTACGATATGTAATGCTGTATTGACTCGCGTTTCCATTTGGACTCGTCTCCTCCCTAATCGACGGCGACGACTCTCTTCTTTTATTATGGCACTATACGCTCGTTATCATTCCTTGCTCAATTAACTTATCTTCCATTCTAATTTAAAACTAGTTATTACTTTGCTCTTATAAGTTTTCGACGAATTGTTTCACTGATTTTTAGCAGTTCTTCTTTTTTTGCACTTGTTTACTAAAATTGCTTCGAAATCAATTGTAATATTTCCTATGAGGTTACGTCGTTTAAAACAATTTCAATAAATATATCGAATGAATTGTTTTTTTAACGAAGCGACTTATTTTGATTCAGTCTGGACGATTTTTGAAAACAGGGTAGAAATGGAGTAGCTATTGACTTTGACTTACCAGGATCAGATGTGTCCAAACTTGTGGTGGGTTGCTGGCTGAGGGGACCAGGTGTGCCCCCGCTACCGGGACTCCGTGCGTCGTCGTTCGCACCAGGTCCGGGGTACGAAAGAGACGAGGAAGGTGGCCTCTGTAAAATCAAAAGAAAACAATCATCAGTATAAATCGAAGATTTTTCAATGCCGATCGTTGCTTTTGAAAAGTTGAATATTTTCATTACTGCAACGTAGTGGCATCATTTCTTCTTTTTTTTTTACATATTTATTTATTGCACGACGCGATAGGGGGATAAGAAGTTGGAGCACGAGAACGAGTGAAAAAAAAGCGTCCGTGCAAGCGTCGTTATCTCGCATCGCAGAGTTCATTCAGTTTTTCATACATAAAGCCATTGGGCGATAAGAGCGCGAATGTACAAGTCATTAAGAGCGAGCGAGTGAAAAGCGAAAAAAAACTGCCGGAGCGATGAAAATTGAAAATAAAAGAAACGACGTCGATTCGACCTTTGAACCCGATCGATACGAAATGACAGAGCTGCAGCAGCAGTAGGCGAGGAGGCCTGCTGGCAGCGGCAAGCTGCGTATTCCTTGTTGCAAGTTGAGAGCTGTATACGTATACGCGCGTGACATGCTATACAAGCGAGTGCACGGCGGCGGCGGCGATGCATGGCAGTGATTGACAGAAACTCCCACGCGCTGTCATGAGAACTCGCCGACGTCGCTGCTGCTGCTGCTGCGTGTGCACGTCGAGCGCGCGATTCTGGCGTATACACGCCGTTGTCGTCACCGAGCTGCGAACCTGTAATTGTTTCATCTCGTTTTCGCCTACGCATCGCTTATGTTGTATGTAGAATGTATATACGGCCTAGTGTGCGTATCGCAGTCGCGCTTGGCTCGCGTCGAGAGAGATCGCAACGAGATTCTTCGACTCGACGTGTACTGCGCGCACAGCTGATGAGCAGCACCCCGTGCGCGCGCTGCATTTTCACTTTACCACTGAAAAAAGGTTTTATTATTTATTATCGCGCTATGCCATCTTAATTTCTTAATTAAAGACTCGCGATCGCCGAGGTACGAATGTTTGAATTTTAAAAGCTTGCGATTCGCGTCGAATCATGCTCGTGCGCAGAAGTAAGTACGCGCGTAGTGCGTACGTATATGGTATTGTTTCGAGAACGGACTGCGCGCATGCGCGCCTCGGCGATGAAATTTATGCGTAGCTAATTAATTTGACCTTATCTCTCTTAAAAAATCATCGCGTGTAGCGTGTAATTACTCGTCTACAGGAATTTCCATCGGTGGCTGATAACTCGCCTCGACTCGACTGCTCGAGACACGAGGAACACCAAAGCTCCGATTTTCTACTCATAACTTTTTTTCTCGCGCACACGCGCGCACGTCTGCTCGTCGTTTAAGTGCGTGCAGAGTATCTTTTCCCGTAGGCCAAACAAGCATGTCAAGGAGAAAAACCGAGTGTCGGTTTTTTGTCGGGGGCCCCCGATCAGCGGGCCGGCTTCCTTCTCTCTGAAACTCCGCATCAATAATGCATCTCTCGCACTCGCGCCGTAGCGCACGCGATTACTATATCTCCCTGCTCGCTATATACTGCTATAGAGAGCCAAGCCCAGGAGAGATAGACCCAAGCCCGTTTAGGTGTTTCTGCGCGTCTATATGGTCTCGTCTGCCCTGCCTATATATAGCGCATATTATAGTTATGTGCGTGCAAATGCAGTGGATGAACGCGGACCGTTTACGAAAGCTGATTTGTCTAGGCCATGACGACGTCACTTCCTGCTGTGACCGATCGCCGATCCCGTTCGATCGAGCCAGCAAAGTTTCGAACGATATATCTTTGTTTTACTCGATTGAGTCTCGTCTCGAATCGGTTAATTTTCCAACGTGTGGATATAATGAGCGCTCCAAGTGTTTCTGAGTGACAAAACAATGACAGCTCGCCGAGGGAACGGATACGATCTACGACGATCTGCGTCCGTGCGAGAGCTGCCACATCTTCCCAACAAATCACGGCCCGCATATCTCGTCTTTCATGTTTGCTCTCCGCGAGTGGAGTGCCAGCTAACAACTTTAATACGCGCTAATTTATACCTCAGCTTCTTTTTTTACTTTCTTCAACACTTGTCAATTGCCGAGTAAGTACGTGCATAAATACAGTCAATCGATCGAGACAAAGACTGGATTATCACACGCAACTTGAGGCGTCTGAGATTCTTTGCAGGGGTAAGAATAACGGCCTACCTTCGAAAGAGCCAACTGATCAGTGTCAAAATGTTTACTGAAGCATTCGTTCCCCTGTAGATGCCATCAGAAGCTTAATATGCCGGGCCATCAGAAAACAATGAATTACACGAACTTGTGTCAGGATAGAAATGTTACATAAACAATACTTTGTATGATTTCAATCAGGACATACTTCTTTGGACGTTGGATCGAAAGAGTAAAAGAATCATGCCCAGACAAACGGATGACAAGACGAAATTCTTTGTAACGCATACATAAGGTAAAGATAAAAACATACAAATTTAATGACTATCGAGAAAAGCAAGTAAAGAGTTAATTAGCGTTATTGATACGTGCGTTTTCTCTCCTTTCTTGAAATTTTCCTGATGTTTTGAGCATTACAAATCAAAGCGACAAGTGGTCCGTTGAACTCATTGTATATCCCTAAGTAGGTATCTTAATTGCAGTAGCAGAGAATAATGTCGGAAAACGTAAGGCGAGTCTGCAGTTGGCCTGTTTCTCTCTGTGTCTGTGCAGCTTATAGGCGCTTATGTGCGTGCGAAAAAAAGGAGCAACTAATAGAAAGAACCAAGTGGCAGCAGCAGCTCACGCCACGCAAGGAAAGAGAGAGAGAATAGCAAACGCGTGGTATTTATTAAACAGCCGCATGTCCAGCAACATAATGCCATATAATTACATAATTAGCGGCGACCAGACATTAGCGCGTCGCTGACTGGTTTACGAGACTACGAGATACGTATAGATCTCGGCAATTAATTTATTGGCTCTCTCTCTCTCTCTCTCTCTCTCTCTCTCGTTCGGGCACTTTCGCAGTTTATAATATACAGGCTCGTGTGCGCCTCCTTGTGAGTGAGTTCATATATATACTACAACACATATACATACGATACGTATACGCACGTGACTGTTTTCGCGCGAAAAGGACGATAGGTTGCCGGGCTCCCGTTGTAGGAGTAATTACATTGTAAACAACGCGCTATGGCTATATATATGCGGCGGAGAATCAGATACGGATTTTTCTACCGCAAGCTTCAGCAGCAACACTTTTGCCGTCAATGTTGTTGTTGTTGTTGGTATTACTCGTTTAGCTGGTCGCAAGCGCGGGGTATCTCTCGCGGGCGCGAGCTCGAGATAAGCTCGAAATGAGACAAGGACGTGTTAGAGCGCCGCAGCGAACCACGTATAATGTAAATCGCGTGTAGGAGAAAAAAAGGAGTCTGGCTTGAATGAGATATCGGCCGGCAGCATTCCTCGCCGCGCGTGCAATGCTACACACAGCACTGGAAATAATAACGATGATGAGATACAGCCCGCGTGTGTATCTGCGTGTACGTGTGTGTGTTGTATCGAGGGCGAATGAAATTCAATTTCGGAAAAAATAACAGCGAGATATCGATATTTTTATGCCGTCGCGTATCAGGCTGTGTCTCTATTTTTAAATATGATAATGACATTTTAAACCGAGAAATAACCTCATAGAAGAAAAAACAGACACGTATATATGTGTGTGTGTGTATATACGTAGAGTACGTACGCGGGGGAAAGGTATAGCCTTGAATAATAATATCGCTTGTGTGTATGAGCGTATTTATGCAGCAGGCAAGCTGCGAGACAACTGCATGCTGCGATCGGCCGGCTGCTGTATACACGCGTATTTATATATACGTATATTATACTTGCGGAATCATATAGTATAGAGATATTTATTGCAAAGACAGAGACGCGGGGAACGCGCCTCTGCGCTCGACTTGACGGATTATGTCCCACCGTTATGTCAGCCGATATATTGGCGCATACACACGACGCTCACACGCACAAACGCATTAACATTTTCCTCGCGATTCCAGATTTTTCTCTCTTTCTCCTGCAGCGTGATCGAAAAGAAGAGGAAAAAAAAAGATCGTAAGTGGACAAGTTCTCGTGTACAGATATCGCCGCAGTCATCGGTCAACAATTTCGTATCGCGTCTAGCGAAGATACCTTCGTACGTTTCCGTATCTGCGCGGGTATGTACGCTCGCGTTAGAATCTAATTGCCCGCGTAATTCTCGCACGCCACTACAGGTGAGCGCTAATTTACTTTTTTTTTCGGCCACTATCAATCATTTTGTTATTCGTACCGAGTGCGGAGGATAATGGCACTATATAGCTGCAGCTTGGAAAAAAAAAAATGCGCGCACCAATGGAGGAATACGCGCTCGACGTAGAAAAAAGTATACCGTCGCGTACGCGGCAGCAGCAGCAGCAGCAGCAAGCGTTTTATTTATATAATGCGCGTGCGTGTGTGCGCGCCTCTGTTTTCGCGTCATTGCTCAAAGAATGCAGAGATGTGGTTTTCAACGACGAGTAGCAGCCTATACGACGTGCCTTCGTGATCGATCTCGAGAGAATGTGTGCGCAACTGCGTGCAGGAGTTAAAAAAAAATAACATTTGGTTTCTCAACTCGGCCGGTATTGTACAAACTCGCATTTACACGCGCACATTTTTTTCTGCGATTCGAAAATTTTCTCTCATTTCTGACCGTTGATTTCAGGTCGAAAATGTCGGCACTCGAAGAGCGCGAGCGGAAAAATCGTGCATTTTCACCTGAAACGCGTTGTGTGCCGCGCAACGCTCTCGATATAATAAAATATGATTTTTATTATTGTGCGCGCGTGGCACGAGCGCAGTGGCACACGGCTGCGCCTGCACCGAGCACTGCTCCTGAGTCTAGACAAATAAATCAATAATCATTTATGCAATGCGCTCGCACTCGGGTGCACCGCTGCGCTAGTGCATTACTTTGGCAGAACTGAATAATTTACGATAAAAACGGGGAGAGAGAGAAAAAAATATATATCGCGCGCGAAAAAGTCGCGAGCTCGGCGCAATAATA